GGAGCCCGGGGGGGGGGAGCTCTGCGGGCCCCGGGGGGCAGCGCGCTGTGCTTGGGCCGGCGCGCCAGGCCTGTCCCCGCAGCCCTGAGCCGCCCCAGGGGCGCCCGCCGGCTGGGAACGCGCTGCTCGTTTCCTGCGGCCCGGCAGTGAGTGTGTCGGGGGTGCGGTGCGGGTGTCTTGCCGTGAGGGAGACGCTGGTTCTGTCCTCGTTTGCCTTCACCAATTCCTGGTGCGTCCCTGCATCTCTTTGTGTCGTTCACAACAAGCTCATTGTGTGGTTTCTTGAGTATTTCTCTTTTGGCTTTTAAAACAACGTTTTGGGGTTCGTTGCAGTCCAAGGATATAATAAACGGGATCCTTGGCGTTGTGTGCAGACGTAATGACTGTTTGTATTGTGTTCCCTGTAATACTTCTCAGTTACTGTTTTGTATTGCTTCCCTGGCACTGACATCAAGCTACAGCTCTGCAGCTTCCAAACCACCCTGCTTTGCCCTTCTTCTTTCTTCCCCCTCACCCACCCACAGCCCTGGAGCTTTCACTGCAGATACCACCTCTTTGTGAGCAGTTCGCTTCGTCTGCGGGTTCTGCAGAGCTCTCGGGTGGATGCTCCAGATACAGATATATATATAAACCTGTTAACTTCTTGTAGGGGCAGCAAAGGAGTCGTTAACAGGCCTGAGAATCCAAGGGGCATTTGAGAATCGCCACCAAGGTCTTTGCCTGGACTGGAGGAGTGGGGGATGGTGGGCAGCGGTGGGAGGCTTGTGCAGCGTGTCTGGGACGTGCCCGTGGCACAGCAGCTGCGCTGAGGGGTCTGCTGGGCGTCTGCAAATAAAAGGTGAGCTGGGCCTGAGGAGGAAAAAATAACTGCAGACAGTGAACCGCAGGAATAGAGGAAAAATGTTGGAAGTTACAGAGAGAGCGTAGAAATTTACACATGGAGTGAAAGCGGAAAGAAACAGTAAAACTGGAATTACAGGGGTTGTAAATGAATGTTGCCAGCCTTTCAAACCTGTAGGGTTGCACTGCAGTTTGACAACACGAGTCATGTTGCCTCGTCACAGAAGGGAAAGAAGGGGGCATTTGCTGGTTTTTAAATAATTTCTTAAGCCGTGCTGTGAATAGGAGCAGTAGGAGCTTTCAGAACGCGAGGATCACCTTGAGATCAGATATTCCAGGCCGGTGCTGTCAGAGGTGGCTTTCTTACTGCTCTATCCAGGTTCTCAGGTGAAGAGCATCACCTCAGCTTTTGGTCAGTGAAGCCAGGGAGTAACATTCCTGTGAGGTGGCTCTCGGGAACTCGGCGCGGCCGCCCAGGTAGCTGGGCCGAGCTGCTGTTTTTCCCCCGGGGCAGTGACAAACTCCAACCCGTGACGCCGAGACCCATCCCTCGGGGCCTCGTTTGTCACGGTGGCCGAAAGGGGGGGCACCAGGGGAAGGGCTGTTCCCCGACACCTGGACAAGGCCTGAAACGGGGCGCGCAGCCCGCGGCGGCAGCGGGGCGGCCCGGGGTCG